CCCAGGATCTGATTCCCAGCCTCCACATCAGCACACAGCACCCTAAAAGGAATGTGAGCTCAGGTGAGGGAAGTGAACTGAGGTGCAGGTATTGCCAGTTCCTCCATACATACTGCAATCTCAGGGGTGGGGAGAAGCAACCAGCTGGCACCATCTTAAACTACAGCATTTAAGGCTTCTAGAGTACATCTGTCAGAGCCATTTGTGAATAAATTTCAGCATAAGAGTTTGTAGAATTGAGAACTTCATATGTAAAGATTACAAGGAAAACACAATAGATAAAAGCACAAAAAGCTACACGGGCTGATTGATAATGTAAATGTGAGAGGGAATTATCATGGGTAAACGTAACCTTTTCTTCATTTACACCACACAGCACAGCCAGGGAGAAAACAATTGAGACTTCGAAACCTACTACATTTTCAACACAATCTGCTTCCCCAAAATAAAAAACAGCTCATTACATAAAAGGTTATTATTCTGTTTCACTACTTATTTTATTTCGATAGAAATACATGAGAATTAATTTAGCTTTCTGGCTAGAGGCAAACAACTACAGAAATGCAACCCCATTTTGAATTTGTTGTCTTACCTAAAACTAGAAATAATAGCATTAATAAGAGACAACAAATTTGTGTAGAAAATTGTGTAATTCAGCTTGTCCTCTGGATTTTAACTTTCCAACTATCATTCCCAACACTAACCTACTGCTGTCATTTGTTCTTTTCCCCTCTCACACTTGTCCTTTCTGCTCTGACTTCACCATAAGTTTCTGCTGTCAGAACAGTCTTTCCTTATTTATTCATTTTACCAGCTCAACATCTAGCCCTGGATTTCTACTGTACCCTTCCTTTCCTATTTCCAATCCTTCTTTACAACCCCTTCTGGGTTTACATTGGCTAATTCATCAGTCTTTCTTCCCAATTCTGCCTTTTTTCTGATTGTAAAACATACTGAGTGAAGGCTAATGACAAGAACAATCACAACACAGAATGAACAATATTTTGATGATGTATGTATTACATTTAAAACTGAAAAAAATCTCAGGACACAATAAACTGTATTGTGCAAAGCTCCACTGTATCACTGCAGTGTGTGTTTAGAAAGCCAGAATCAAACTTAAAAAATCACTAATGATGATTTTTGCCCTGTGGCTAAAAAAAAACAAAACACAAAACAAATGAGAAACAAAGGAATGAGCACTGTCCCTGTCAGGAATGCCTCAAGTATTTACTGAACTCACTGATTACAGGGGTATCTGTGCACAGCTAGTGATATAAAAGCACCTGGGATTCTGTGACATTTTCCCATGACCTTCAAATAAAATTCTAAAGAATAAAAATGTATCAGGAGTCATAGGCTGTTGCAGATAATTCTGTGATATTAAAGCTGCATTAATGCAAGTTCTATTTGAAAATACACATGGAAGAACTTGCTCTTCCACAGCCATACCAGTAACCATCTACGTTTGTCATTACATGCAACAACAGCTCCTTCCTCTAGAGCAAACACGTTTTTTCTACAACTGTCTTTCCTTCCTATTTTCTTTTCAAAAGGAACAAAAAAAATATTACCTGCTTATTTAGTGTGTCAAAAAATACTTCAAGAATAAACCTGATTATTAATGAGCTATAAGAAACACTGTTGCTTCATCTCCTCCACCAACCATGCCACAAGGTTTATGTTGTACATAATTCTGCAGTGATATATAGGATCATCAGGTTAGTTAACTAAAGGCAGTTTCACTGTGCTTATGATTGATCAACTATGGAACTATTAAAACATTAAAAATGTTAATCTTCGTAATAATCTCCAGAATATTCTTTATATTAATTTAAACCATGGATCATTTTAATGTTTAATCATTGCAGACTTCACTTGGAATGAGGATAGCCATTCACTGAAAAGCACTTCATTTTTTATTTTGAAAAATGATCAGCTAGTATTTATTTTGCAAATCTCTTCACATATTTTCCTCAAGCAAAGCAAATGAAAAAATCCACAGGAGCAGAAAAATTTAAGGCAGAGTTTGGGTCAGAAAACATTGACTTTCACACTCCTGTTTCCCAGGAGTAACTGCATTACAAGAGTAGTACTGTACGAGAGTCAGAGGACTGGGGGAGACTTCTACTGCAAATAGAAATGACTGCCTTCTTTGTCTCCATCTTACAATCACCTATGTTGCATTCTCTTCCCATATCTCATAACGTGTAAACACAGTAATTCACTTATTCTTCACAAGTACTTAACAGAGTGACTTCCTCCCCACAATGATACTAAACTGGTTTAGTTTTTTTAACAGGCAACCCAATATTGTAATGTTAACCCTACTCCTCTCCTATAATTCACAGCTTGCATTGCTTAATGCAAAATTTAGATTAATATGGAAATATCCCAAAGGAAAAAACCCAACGACTCCCTAGTTATGATAAAAATCTCACAGAAACTCTTAAAATTCTAACTGTAATTAACAGTAACTAGACTTCATGGTATCAATTCATTTTGAAAAGTATTTAAAATTATCTAACCAAAACTAATTCATGGTCTAGAGAAACAAATTCCACAGAAAAATGCAAGGACAATGTCTTCATTGCACTGCAAAAATATAATCCAAAGAAAACAACTCTTGTCTTGTTTTCTACATAGGGTCTACTAAAATTGGATGTTCTCTGGAGCTACTGCCATAAAGTACCCTGAGCTTCAGATGCCCTTTAGAATGGGCTGTGGGAATTTCGAAGAAATACTTGAATTAAGTAAATCCTAAAGATACCCGAGTGGTACCAGAGGTTAATATATCAGCTGACATGACTAGACTTCATTCTGTATTTTTGACCAATAGTGAGGTAAAGATTTTCAAACTGGCACATAAACTGGCTTCCTAATCTGAAGAGGCTGCAGAGTCTAACAGCAAGAACTATGAAATCCAGAACAGATGTGAGTGTAGCATCTTTCAATGCATACAAACTTACACTGCATAGTTCAAATTCATGAAAAAAACCCACAACCAACCAAGCAAAAACCAGTAATAAAGATACTGCCTTTACTCCCAATTTTATGAAGAAAGTATGTATCTCCTTGCATATTACCTATCACTAAAGTATGTTCTTAAAAAACAAGATATGGAAAAATCCTGGTCATTCAATGTGAGGCAGTAATAAACTCTGGAACTCAGCTGCTTATGTGTGAAATGGAAGGAATAGTCCTGTTTATATGACTTTATAGAAGCCACATGTATTTGCCTTTGTACAAAACTCAGTGTAAGACTTAAAGCTAAATACATAAGGAATTTTGCCATTGTTGAAAGGCATCTCTGCTTTAGTAATCTGATTTAAAGTAATCTTTCAAAATCTACATGTCTGAAGAGCTCCCACATTTGCATTGAAAAAGTATTTTCTGTATTGCTTTTGTAGATACAAAATACCATGTTAAGCACAATAAGCAGGTTGTAGAACATTGTGGTAATCTCTTCTTGGCTACATAAAGTAAAATCACAGAATTCCCAAGATTGTTGATGGATCTTTTGAGGTCATCTACTTGTGCTCATCTATTCGTGCTCAACCAGATTTAGTGAGAAGACTTATACATAAATTGTATCTGAAGTAGACTTACATCTTTCCAATGCATGATGAAAGACAATCATGTCAACAAAAAAACTGGCCAAATTTTTCTTTAGGCAAGGAGACAAGCTATTTTCTGAACAATGGATTGTCTCCAGCCCATTCTGTACCAAAGAGTAAAGTGATTGATTCAGCCAAGGATGATGTGCCAAAATGCAGTACTTAATAAATGGTTCTATTTTCCCCGCATTTGTAGAATTTAGTGTATCTCTTAAACATCACTTTATACAGTTTTCCACTACAGAAATACATCTTTAATAGCAGGTACCCTTCCATTCTGATTAGCTCTTTAGGAATGAGGCTGGGCCCCAACAGGAAGGAACTCAAAACCTATGACATGCAATTGAATTACTGAGTGTGAAGGTGTATGCTGCATATACAGCCCATAAGCTCTTTCAGAGCAGGTTTCTGATACTACAATGATCTGCCCTTTAACTGTGTGGGCTGATGGAAGGTGGAGCAGCTTGAGAGCCACAAGAACACTGTGGCAGAGAATACCCTGCCAACACTTCACATTTAGAAGTTTTTGTAGCTCACATATTCACATATTTCTGTCCGGGATTTTCTGAGCACAGGCGTCACCAGAACACTCTGCAGAGAACACAAAGGAGTCCAATGTACCCGGAACACATCTCGCCTGTAAGGCAAACATAGCCAGCTCAACACTCCGGGTTGGATCAGATTTACTGCACAGCCACAGCCGGCCGAACACATCCAGCCGCACTACGCGGCCCGGTCTCACTGCACGTGGGGGGTCAGCACACAGAGCAGCAGATTGTCCAGCTCCAGACACCCTAAAACCTCACACAAGATGGAGTTTCGCACACACACCAACCACACCGCGCAGGTGGGCAGCATGGGAGCAGTCATGCCCATGAAGGAAAACCTGAGCTATCCTCCCATGGAGGCACGGCAGGCTTCAGCAAGTTCGGCCCCGTTGGTCAGGCCTCGAACACGGCCCCGCCGAGGATACCTCGGTGAGGGGTTTGTTTCCCTCCAGTTTGGCTGCCTAGTCAGGGTGGTACTTCCCCGAGCACGAAAAAGCAGCCCTGGCACTGGAGGGGTCCCGGTACGGTGAAACGGAACACCAAAGGCGCCTGCAGGACAGCGCAGCACACCAGCTATTCCAGCCCACGCCCAAAATGGCGGCAGCACAGCCGACCCTCTCCCACCCCAGCCCCTCTAGCCCGCGCTCCGGGGGCGGGGCCGCCCAGATTGACAGCGCGCTCCGGCCAATCGCGGGGCCCCGCGCTTCCAGCCGGCCAATGGCAGGGCGGGCCCGCGACGGTCAGCGGGCCGGCCGCGCGCGCCGCCNGCCGGGGCAGCGCCCGCTCGGGCCCCGCGGCCGCGGCCGCTCGCCCACCCCGGGACGCGGCGCGCTACCTCGGGCCGAGCGGCACAGCTCCGCCTCCTCCCTCCTCCCTCGCCGGGCCGACTTCCTGCGCCAGCGGGGCTCCCGCCACCTCCTGCTCGCGCGTCCCCGCCTCCCGGTCCCGCCCGCTGTGCCCCGGCCCCGCGGCCCTGGCGGTGGCCGGGTGGCTCCCGCTCGCTTGCCGTGCTCGGGTGTGTTGCAGGGTTTTCCAGGGGAGGTACCACGTTGCTCCAGACTTGTAGAGCGAAAAGCAATTAGCCTCTTTCACTCTGTAGTATCCCAGGATGGTTTGGGTTGGAAGGAACCATAAAAATCATCTATCTCCAGCACCCCATCAGTACAAGCCAAGTGGGAGCTTACATTCAAAGTCCTAAAAACAAAACGCATGGATAATTATGAATTCCAGCAGGTAATTTTCTGGGTACCTTGAGATGGGACTGAGTCTTCTGCAACAGGTAATTCCTCTGTGCAAGAAGCAAGCCACTGGCTCTCAGAACAGTCTGCTGATTAATATTGGAAGTGCATGCCTTGGCTCTTGCAGAATGGCACCTGGTGGCCAAGTGTAGCTCTCCCTTGTAAGGAAAGATACACAGGAAAATAAACATTTGCGTTTGTTTACCTCTGCAACTTTGGAAGTGAAAGCTGTACCCAGGTGAACTTTCCCATCTTTCTAGATAACGTGCGTACTGAGTGGAGAATGAGCCTGCGGAAAAGTTGATTACTCAGAGTTTATGTCCGGCATGCATACCAAAGCAGTTTTCTCCAGTCATTTCTATAGCAAGATTAATCAATGCTTTAAATGATACAGCTTTCGTAGAAGAATAGCCTGTCCTGATTTTGAGTCATGAGACAAAATATTTTTTTGTACCCTTTTCTGTTGCCAAGAAATCTCACACTGAAGATATTTAGCATATTGTGGCAGGTCACTGGTCACAACATTATGTTTTCTTCCTAAGAAATGTTGTGCTCCTCTGGGACTGGAGTTGCCACAACTACTGTAGGCACCTTCTGATTCTTCTGTGTTTAGAATTTTCAGCAATAATTTTATTTCATCCATACTCCTAATGGTAGGGCAGAAACCATATACCTGTAAAATATTTTAATATTTCGTTTTAATTTCTTGATTGTTTCAATATGATTCACTTAAATCCAAGTCACAATTATGCTCCTGGATTTTTGAATGTGGTATTATGAAAAAAAAACAGCAGATACATTGAAACAGGCATTACATGTGATTTTTGACTGTAGATTCACAACCAAAACAATTCCATGAAGAAATATCAAGATCAGTGTTCTTGGCTACATTATTTTGTATTATCTGAACCACTGCTGAGGACTTTGTCAATGTGAGTTGTAGTAGCAAAATACATCTGGTTCTAGTTCAGTTTTACCTAATTTGACCTAATCACAATATTCATTTCACTACTCAGTTGTTCTTCTAAGTAATAAACCAGTGTATGCCCAGCAGCCTCAATGCTTAATCTGTAAAAAAGCCACAAGGAATTGTGACTCATGAAAAAGAGCTCCATAAGCATTGGCATGTTTTCATCATTTTCATTTCACTTTTTCATGTCTTCATTCTTAATCCTCATTTTATGGGAAAATTGTTTTCCGCTGCGATTGTTTTCTGCAAGAAGGGGTTCACACTGGTCGGAATGGAATGGTCAGAAGAGCAGTTGACTTTTAGACAATGAAGTGCTACTGTGACAAGCTTGCTGTGTTTTGTGGGATTAGAAGCGGCCTGGGTGGAGTACATGTGTCCTAGGATATTTTTAATCTGTTTCTTAGAGGTTGTAATAGAAGTACCATTACTATTATGTGACTGTAACTGCAATGTATGTCAATCAGAGAGGGATTTTTTGTGGATCTTGCCACACCCATCAGTTTGCTGTCACATCTCTGGATCAGATTAGTGTAAAACTCTAAATGTATTTTTAAATTACATAGTTTTACCTCACAATTTCTTAAAGGAAATATATCAGCTGTTGTTTTCAGTGACTGTCTTATCCTGGTTTTCCTCCTGTTTTCATTCTTTCATAAGATCTTCAGTTTCTTCTGACAACTTGACAAGAATCTGTCCCTTTTTGTCCTCATTATATGCAGTGATTTTTAAGTTTCTGATTTGTGAAACTTTTATTAACAGAAGCGTAGTTGAGCCCATTGAAAATAGATTTCGTTTTTTATTTATCTTTTTGCAAAGCCATTCCTGAGCTTTTAGAGTTTAGTTAGTTTAGGTAAAAGGTTGGGAAATTATGCTCAACATCTTTGTTCCGAGTTGACAACACAGATTAAATTAACATACAGAAAACTATATCCCTGAAGTGCAACAACTTGTCTACTGTCTAACCTGTTGTCTCCTAATGTATGTCTAAACATTAAGTTCAAAGATGCGAAACAATGTTCCTAATTATTTTTGTTCTATTAATTTTGCTATCACCAGGTAAGAGTTTTTTCCCATCTCTTAAACTGAACTGTACCAATATTGCCAGTAAAACAGCTATTTGGTTTGGGCTACTATTCAGACTAACATTGAAACTTTCAGGTAATACCTTATTTCACAACTTCTACAAGGTACAGTATTCCCCATCTAACCACAAAGCTAAAACTCTCTTCGTGCTCCTGTCACTTCCTAACAATCTAATTTCTTCTGGTGGCTTTGACAGATACAGTCTTGCTCTTCTCATATCCAACCAGAGCTGCTACTGAAAGAAATAATCACTCTAGCTCATCCCATTATCCATGTAATTCCTCACTTTGCATCTCTCCAATGTCTTCCTATGCTGGCTCTGTACACACTATGCCTTCATTTTCAAATCCTTTCTTCTATCCTGTCTTGTTTTCAGTTAGCTTTTCTATGTCATTTCTCCCCTTTGCCTGATAAAGAATTCTGACTCCGCTACATTTTTTTTTGCAAGCCCTGTTTTGCTTTCCCCAGGTGTGACTGTTTCTCTCAAATCCATCCAAAAGAGAGCTACTGTAACTTCATGCTACTCGTGTGTTGTGCCTACTCCTATCATGCTTGACACCACTATCCCTAAAATCAGGCATTCCTAAAATCCCTGCAGCATAGTCCCAGACAACTGTCCTTACCCATGCTTCCTGCAGGGATAGGAGGGTTGTGGAGCCCATCCTCTCTCCTTCCAGCCTTCCAGCTGAAAATCTCAACATGATGTCAGTCATGATAGATGGTGCATTTTGTGACACAGACAGCGTGCCATTAGGACAAACCCATTTCACTGAACCGTCTGACAGTAATGACTTTCAGTGACAGCCTGACCTAGGCTGGCTCAAGTCAGCGTGCTGGGGGTGAAAGGCTTCGTATTCCATTACCAGGACTCTGAGCCATCAAGTCTGCCCCATCCCACCCCTACTTGATCTGTATTGATGGACTTGGTAGCATTTTCCTAAATGCCGTCATCCATACAGATGTCTGCCGTTGTTTGGTTGATGCGGTCAATCAATACTACATTAAATGTTACCTTCAGTTTCCCCTTAGTTGTCTAAAGTAGATGTGCTATTTTCATTATTTATACAACTGTGCCATTAAATTATGCATTTCAGATTAAAAGAATAAAAGAATTGTTTACATTATTATTATTACTCTGGCATCAACTTTTGAATTCCTGTGTAAAGAAATTAATCTATCAGAGGGGGAAATAGGGACTGACAAGCTCTAGCTCCTGTTGCCTCTGGGACGTAATTATGCTTGCAAATACAAAACCAGAAAAAATCATAAGCTTAACACAGTAGACTCTCTTGAAAGTTTCATCTCAGCATGAAGCTATGTTTTAATTATTATTTTTGTCTGCATTGTTCAGATCAACAGTGCACCAGATAGAGTAAGTGCTTATCCTAGTTAATTCTTCATGAGACTTATGTCACTGGAAGATGCATTTAATTTATTTCCTTTTGCTTTCCTTAAGCTGGCATGGACTAAGTGGTTATCTATAAACATTCCACAAAGGTTTTACTACTTTAGGGCCAGGTCCAAAGCCTGTTGAGTCGATAGGAAGCATCAAAGGTCTTTGGAACAGGCCCTGTTACAAGACAGAAGTAAACTGTGATTTGTTTGGGAACCTTGAAGAATAAAAAAGGAAAAACTCCTTATTTGTATTCTACAATACTAATAGATCTCTCTATGTGGTAGACATTTTCCATTCTCTTGAAGCAAATTTGGACACTTAGACATCCCCACTTACCTAAAATATTTTATATATGTGTATATATATACTATATATATGTATGTGTATATATATATATATATATATATATACTCACATATCTATATATGTATGTCCTGATTCCTGAAGTTTGATAGCATTATAATAAAATCTTTTCCTGCTACAATTTCTGCTTGCAAATATTACTCTATGTAACACATAGAATTACCAATGTAACACATAGTTGTTAATACCTGAGCAACTGTCATTTCTGTTGCGGAAGAAGATTTTCTTATTTGCTGATTTAATTAGGTAATTACAATTATGTATTTCATACTGGGGGAAATAGCATGTTTTGAAAGTTACTGTGACACTAGTTTGGTTCATTTTATTTAAAAAAGCTAACCTGCTAAATATCAGAATAATAGCTATCTATTACAGGATCAAATAAAAAGCTCAGCTTCCAAGAATGAATGTGGATTTTGCAATGCCAGAATTAATCTAAGACTACTTCCAAATATTAGTGTCATCATCTAGGAAACAAAAACCTATATACAGTTTTATAAATTATTTGTAATATATTTTGAGATCCATACTCTCCAAATTGCATGATAGTCCCAAATTATTATGTTGATACAGTTAAGGCTACTTGGAAATATTTCTTCTCACTTAATATTTGTTTAATGTGAACCATGTTAAACTTTTATATAATCAATACATTTTATGGACAGTTGACAAAATTATTCAATTAAATGATTACATGATACATATCAAAGTAAGTATGGTTCCTGCAGAGTTTTGTCTCACTCCTCCTGAACATGTATTCCAGAGAAAGTTTAGTTTGTCACAGACAGCAGTTCAATGGTGTCTGCATTCTCCAGATTCATAGTTCACAT